GAGATCTTGTTCTTGAGTTTCAGCTAACTAGCTCAGGAATTAAATTATGCAGACAGACACATACATGCAACACAGAAAAAGCCTGTCATGAATAATTTAAGCAAGAACGCACAATGACATTATTTTAATTAAAATCTCATTTTTTTGCTACCCGTGCATCTGCACCTCCGCAAGACTCATCACCAACAGCTCGCGCACCCTCGAGCATTTCAGGCAAAAATTTAGTGTATTTTCGATTAGGAAAAAATAAAGAAACATTCTGACATATCCCAACCAAGCTTTGCCGAACGCTCTACTTTCTTTCAACTTTCCCAAGAAAATTCCTCGCAAAGAACAAGAAAATTTGTAGCTAATTGTAGGATTAAATGAAACTGCTGAGCGATCTTGACTGGAACGAAGAAAAACCTCAAGATCTTTTATAGGGACTAGGAAGGCGAATTCGCCACTGGTTGGGTGAGGCATACCAAGGACACTAAGACCGTTCGGACTATCGATCTCGGAACCCTATGTTAATGATATTACTAGGATGCACGCGCACACCGAGCGCAACTATGTCAGGCCCTTCGATCCTAGGCTGCATGCCTCCAGTTACTGTCTAAGGTTTGCATTATGTTTGGACGCCACACATTTTGAGGTCGCCTGAATGGTTATTTACTTGTTCTAGCCAAGAAGGTCTGGGTAATCAGGGACGAAACAACGCAAAGCTGGACTTACCTCTCCATTGAGAAGTGGAAGGAGTAACGCACCGAAGGCCACATATATTAGGAAAGCAATAAAGAGGATGAACGATGCGAAACCAGTGGACGCTTCCTCTTCCTCCTCTTGCTCCTTCCCAACCTTCAGCTTCCGTTTCCTCTTCCAGTGCTCTGCTCGATACCTTTCCAGCTGAAAACAGAAAAACAGTACATCAAAAACACAAAACATCAGTAGTTAAAAGACTAGGCAGCTGGTGTGCACTGGCAACCACAACAACAATTTCTTGTCCCTAGCTGGCATCCTGGAAAGCAGGTAAAAGCTAACTTGAACTCCGCCAGTTTAGAAACTGTCAGCCTGTGAATTTATCTAACCAAGCTGTTTTTTGTTTTCAAAACTAAATTGTTGTTGTTCGAGGAAACAAAAGCCATTCAGAAGACCATTAATCCACTAAAAAATCAGAAAAGGAAATGAGCCAAAAAATGCGTTTTCTGGAAGATAAATGATAAGTCGGTCACCAGTGTTGTTTTTGAAAGCGTCGATTGTTAGAGCCTCTGTTTCATGTCTGGCTAAAAGTTGCTGTTCTTGAAACCAAAGTAAGCCAGAACTTATCCATTCAGGATACCGTAAATCATTCAAGCAATTAAAACGGAAGAAAAATAGTTGCCCTCCAGACAATCGTCTTGCGAGATCTTTAAAATTCTGCAGTTCTAAACTCGAGGTTCTGGATAGTCTGTTTTCTACAGGCTCATTGAAGCCACTGATTATTATTCAACAAAATCTGCGGATTAATGAAATCACTATCATTTTTTTTTT